CTTAAGGCAAACGGCATCTCCATAGAAATCGGGTGACTTAAGTAACATCGAAAACTATTTTGATCGGTAGGTGATTACGTCAAAAAGCAATTCGACTGGTAAATAAATTTAAAAATGGGATGTGATCCTATATTCGTACAGTATATAGTGTAATAGCAGGAGCATCGATTGACACTGATAGCTCGACTTTGTTTACCTTTGTTACATTCGACGTAATGAACATTTGCTCTTGAATTCCGCAGCATTGTTCTAAACTGGTTTCCAAGCCTTTTCAGGACCACAAATAAAAGAGTTAAGTAAAGAGTTCAAGTAAGAGCTTTTATCAAAGACATATCGTCCCGGATTGGTTGCATGGAGCACCTCAAAAACAGAACTCTCAAATTGCTTCCGATGTTTAACCTATCGATATTTTTCAGTGATAACGGCTTAAGAAATCAATTTAATATTTAATTCATCGTTGTTATCTAATAAAGGGTGATACGGTCAAAATTTGGTCAAAATCAACTTGACGTATTTCTTTCAATTTTGCATTTAAAAAACCTGAACACCCCTCATTTTGAAGGTGTGTGTGTGTAGAATGTTGCTCCTATTTTGATTTTGGAATTCACTCTTCAGTTGTCAAAATGCCGTCCAAGCAAGAAGAGCAGCGTATCAAAATTTTGCTCGCGCATCGCGAAAATCCGAGCTACTCGCACGCAAAGTTGGCAAAATCGCTAAAAGTTGCCAAATCAACCGTTACAAATGTAATTAAAGTGTTTGGGGAACGTTTGTCGACAGCCAGGAAGTCTGGATCGGGGGGAAATCGAAAACCGGAAGCCGCTGAGACGACAAAGAGAGTTGCCGGTAGTTTCAAGCGAAACCCTAACCTCTCTCTCCGAGATGCCGCAAATAAGCTGGGTGTATCGTCTACAACCGTGCATCGAGCCAAAAAACGAGCCGGACTATCGACTTACAAGAAGGTAGTGACTCCAAATCGCGATGATAAACAAAATACGATGGCCAAAGCGCGATCCCGGAGGCTGTACACGATGATGCTGACGAAGTTTGACTGCGTGGTAATGGACGACGAAACCTACGTCAAAGCCGACTACAAGCAGCTTCCGGGACAGGAGTTTTATACGGCAAAAGGAAGGGGAAAGGTAGCAGATGTTTTCAAGCACATGAAACTGTCAAAGTTCGCAAAGAAATATCTGGTTTGGCAAGCCATCTGTACCTGTGGCTTGAAAAGCAGCATTTTCATAGCTTCCGGGACTGTCAACCAAGAAATTTACGTGAAAGAGTGTTTGAATAAACGTCTGCTGCCTTTCCTGAAGAAACACGGTTGTTCCGTACTGTTTTGGCCGGATTTGGCATCTTGCCATTACGGTAAAAAGGCCATGGAGTGGTACGCCGCCAACAACGTGCAGGTGGTTCCCAAGGACAAGAACCCTTCCAACACGCCAGAGCTCCGCCCAATTGAGAAATACTGGGCTATTGTCAAGCGGAACCTAAAGAAGACCAAAAAAACTGCTAAGGGCGAGCAGCAGTTCAAGGCAAACTGGCTTTCTGCGGCGAAGAAGGTGGACAAGGTGGCTGTACAAAATCTGATGGCAGGGGTCAAGCGTAAGGCCCGGCAATTCGGATTTGGAAAAGCGGAAGCCTAACTGAATATTTTTCCTGAATTTTATACTAATTGAACTTGAAAAAAAATTTAATTTGATTTTTTAAATAAACGATTTCACCGATTTACACGCGTTTTCCCTTGACCAAATTTTGACCGTATCACCCTTTACATTAATCACTAAAGTCTCATGATCGGTTATTTTGAAATCAGTATCCGTAACTGAACGAAAGGAATCAAAATTGGAATAAACGTGGTCAATTAAAGTTCTACTTTCCATGCAGAGTAGAACTTTAGAACTTTAATTACGCGTTTATTCATTTACCGTTTGCTTTAAATTAAAAAACTCAGCTAAACGCTTCAAATGATCCGAATTAGTGATGTCACGCCAATTAATATTAAAATCACCAGCTAATATATTTAATTTACTAGAATCAAGGAATGTCTCGAGCCAGTTCTCCAAAATATCACTGATCAAAACCTTCAGTTTCTACAATATGAGTTCCAGATAATAAAACTAAAAGGGGACGTGTTTCCTCAACAATCTGACGTAATGCTACGTCATATTTTCGGAATCATATTTTCAAAACCGGTGCCAAAAATTTCTCGAAATGTATACATTCGATTCGTCCGATTCATTTTGATTTCTGTTCAGTACTATTTTGTGCAGTCCACGATCGTTCGGATTTCGTCTATCATTTAATTTCGATTTTTTACAGCCGATCAAAGACAAATTTTAAGAATCAAAAATCGGAACTTCAACTTTGTAAGGCCGCCATTTTGTCAAAAAAAAAAAAAATAAAAAAAAACGAACGATCAAGGACTAGTTTAACACATGCTTAACGATTTGGCATGGTTTTTTTTTATTTCAGATGATTACATCACAAACCGCAGTTGGCACCGCAAAAAGCGTTTTATGGTACATCGTCCACGGGGAGCAGCCGTGCGGGGCACCAGGACCTCGTTTTTACAGCATCGACTGATAAATGTACCATTTAATGTGTGTTCAAAACCGATTTTCAATATGTTGCGTCGTTTTCGAGAAAAAAAAAATCCAAACTTTATCATTTTGACGTGCGAGATCAGATCATTCTGCTCGTCGCAACTCTGATCTGATAGACAATTATCATACTTGAACAGAACATTTGCATTGTCCGTGTAAGCTTTGTCTTAGTCGGTGTAAGTGTAGTGCATTTGAAATTAAATACACGAGCACATTTACCCACATAAACAACCGGCAAATCACTTACCACCCAACTAACATTTTCAGCTTTATAAGCCAACTTTTCCAGCGTTGTGCTGTAAAGTAGCTGAAAAGAAACTGCAGATACAGCTATAAGCAGAAGCTAGGAAAATAGTTTTGGAGAGCGTTTACTCAACTTTTTCACAACCATTATGCAATTTGTCAGTCGCACTGAATAAAAACAGCCAAAAAACGCTAATGTCTCTTTTATAAATATACTAATCAACTTTCAACTTGTTACTGCAAAACAAAGCTAATAAAGTGAATATATTACTCATTTGATGGCTTCTTTGAATAAGCGCCTTTCAAGTTGACACACAACTAAACAGCAGGATAACAGCTGTATAGAAGCGTTAATGGATATGCAATAAGAGCTTGTCCAACCGTCCCAACAACCATAATTAGCTGACTAAGTTCGCCAGATTTGCTTGTATAGAGGTTGAGCTAAGGTTTCCTCATACCGTATAACGTTTGAATACAGTTTGAGGCTGTATAAATGAAAGCGTTACATTGTGAAAATTGTTAGTTGGGCAAGATCCCCAAATCACATATTGCACACTCTGCCATATCTATTCACCCTATACACAAAAACTTTATATTCAACACTACAGAGACACAAGTAAAAAGGAATGAAAGCAGAAATTTACAATGCCGCAGCTTACTAAAGAGTGCCAATAGCATGCCGGGCGAAGCAAAAAAACACAAATTGAACAAGAACCAGCTGCAGCAGCAACCGTTCTGCTACTTATCCACTAAATGATCACTACGGGTCACGCGTAGGATCAATTCTACCGCGGCACAAGTACAATTTCACACTTAATTTATCCAATGTTTATCACAGCACTGCAAAATAAACTATAACGTTCGCCATTACAATACAAAGATGATCAGTGATTCTTTTACGTTCGCTAGCAAAGAAGTGGATTCGAAGTGAATTTCTTGGTATTTTATTTTGTTCACCAAGAGATTCGACCTCTAGTTTATATTAATTTTGTGTAATAGATTACGTGACATTGTGGAATGCTACGAAGTGTGGTGGATGCGCAAACCAATTGAAAAACAGTTTGATTAAGACGCAATCATTTCCGTGAAAAGTGTCGATGCGCAACATAAACGAAAAACAAACTTGTAAATCAAAATGACATTAATGTATTCCAAGCATTTCCACCGGGTCTCAAATAAATATTCCTAAGAAATCCCAAATGCAATAAACATGTTTACTAGGTCAATCGCAAGGCGATCAACAACGCACGCTGACGGCGCAATCAATGAAATGATTGTTAGCATAGCTTAGCATATTTGCAATAAGCATAATCGATTGCGTGTGACTATTGCCACATGGTATCGGGTCGATCCGTAAACAACAAGAAGCAACATATCAACATAGCACTTGGGAAAGATTCAGCATAAAACAATATTGAATTCTATCTGCGCAATTGGTCAATTAATAAAACTGAATGCCAGCTCAGAAGAACACAAGTAAGTAAATGTACTGATGGTGTTTTACCTAGAACATATACGATGTAAAATCATGAAATACTTGCTTTAAATTTTCGGGTGGCTTGAGTGTGAATTTATGTGTATATTAATAATGATGATTAAAGAATATTTCAAAAACAAGAAAAGAAAAGATGAACTGAGAATGTTTTGTAATATTGAATGCTGTATTTAAACTAAAAATATTGCTTATTGCCGTTATAAAACCACGATAAATCAGTGTGAAAGTCGAAAGTCTGTTAAACTGTTATTTGGAAATGGTTCAAAATCATGTGTGTTTTCAATTGAATTTCCGAAAATTATTTTCGGTGAGGATTATTTTAGTAGCAGGCGGCCAAATTGCTGTAGAAAATATGTTTTATTTGAATCAAGAATGAACTTTAATTGCACAAGCATAAGTTTGATAGCTCAACTATCTCAGTCGTATTTAGAAAAAACGTAAATTATGTTCACGGATCTTCAAAAGGTGTTAAAAAACAAGAAAATTAGAATTTAAATGGAAACTAACTCGACTGAAGGTCTGAACTGGAATGATTTATTACTTAAATTTGAATTTATGTCACAAATGACCCAAGTGACTATAAATAAAAATTATGCATATTATACAAAAGAGCTTTCATTCTTTGAAAAATGCGTACGTCGAATTATTAACCTATGTACTGGCTACTGCTACTCTTGCTACCATGTGGTGTCGGGTTGCTTCTCTGTTGCTGTTGCCATGCGGTGATCCTCATCGTCACTGTCGTCGTTGAATTGTCATTTTTACTGCCGAGATGGCGTTCTCTGCTGGTGAGCTGGTACATGCTATCGTGGTCATCAGGGTAGCACGTTGCTGATGTTATTGTTGTTGTTATTGTTGCTGTCAACGCTGCCATTCGTACTAATCTTTGGCGTTGAGTTTGCTAGGAGGTGATGATTGTGCGATTGCACTCAATGCTATGGCCATTTGTAGCTGTACTCGTTGAATTGTGTCCAACCGATGAGTGATATCTTTTGACGTTTGGGGTGCGGTCCTTAATTCGTATAGATTGTTTACCCATTGAGTTTGTATAATAACAGGGTAGGGGAAATGGCTTTAATGTTGGCCTATGGATCTAAGATTGGGCCCATCGCTAAAAATCTGCTATTTATCAATTTTATCTAGATGAACGCGTCATTGGGACGGTACTAATGGATATTTTTGGTCGTTATTGAAAATTTAGTCTATTGCTGAATTTAAGTCTGGGCCATAATTAGAAACATTTAGGCCGACATGACATCCATTTCCCCTATCAACTGGATTTAAGAATTTTAATTCTCTGTTGTCTAACATAGTTGTCCCGGTTTATTATAAGCAGGTAAATGTGGTAAAATACGCCAGGTAACATCATATTTTTCAAATATCTAGAGTTTAAAGCATTATCCAAGTCTAATTCAAGTTCTACATGAGAACAATTAAAAAGTACTCCAAAAGAACAATTACAAGGATAATCTTTGACAAATTTTAAATAAAACCTTATTGGGAATCCCACAAGAATGATTTGAGAATGCTAAACTGAAATTCAAGGGGGGTAGATCTGTTTATATTTCCAAACGGTAATTTTTGAACAGAATTATGGAAATTAGTTTAAGGGAATCCTCGCGAGAATTATTTAAAAGATAATTGTAGCGTGAATAAAATTGAATTCCTTAAGTGGCAGATAATTTCAAAACTTGACAAAGTAAAAAAACAATCAAGGAAATGCCTGAGAGAATCATAATGTTATTCAGGGCAACCTTGAAAGCATCTCTGAACACATCTTGGAATGATTCTAAGGAAATTCTTTAGAAAATTTTATAGATATCCTATGAAGAGTAATCTTGCACAAATCTAGATATAATCTATCTAGGAAATTCACAAATTGGTAATTTGGAGCGCAGAACTTAATGATACAAGATTAGTTAAAAGGTATTCAAAATTCTGAAATTTCAAACAGTTGCTAAGACTTCATGCTTTCAAAATAATTATGATCCCGGTCTAATAAAACTCTCCAAACGGAACAGGACCTCAGGACTTCGAATAAATTACCGTTTACCCGCGTTAGTTTGAATATCTAAAATGACAATTAAACAAAGCTCATTAAGAAACTGTTTAACTGTTTCCCCCCTACAAAAGTGCGTAACGTCATTGGTCACATATGTAGTGGTACCAGTTAAATAAATTCTAAATGAGCGCCGTTACTATGTCACACTGCAAAATACAGTCGCCCACAATACAGTTGCTTAATCTTGCCATAAGATTGTCAATCTCTTAAACAACTAATAACTATTTAATTTGCCGTTTGGCTGAAAAACAATTTTCTATACAATTGTAACTGATAAAAATTCCCATAAGAATAGCAATAGAATTTGCTAACAGTACAATATGTAAAAAGGCTAGAAGGCAATGAACAAAAAGTTTTGTTTTCCCATAGTAATTCCCATATAAACTTCAAATGGTTTGTGCCAATTCAGTTTCTTATCAAATGAGTTTAAACTTTCGTAGGCTAATCAGGGCCCAACTTGAAACCGTTTGAACACTGTGGAGCGAAAATTTCAAATTTTACATCAGTCTAATGTTCATACATAGCTTAAGAAATAACTTTCATAAAGACCTGACTTTAGAATTAACTTTCATAAGACTGCGAACTAAATATAAAATTGGATGTGAGGACAAAAACCTGCTAAGAATGCTCTTCAATTATGATGGTACCGAACATTAAAGTTCTTACAACGACTTACAAATGATGCTGCTTAGAATTCTAAAGACCACTTTCAACCAAGCTGCTTAAGCCTCAAATAGGCTTTTATCAGAACTTTTGTTTAATTGTGTATGGCTCCAATTCCCAGACTGAATGTTTGAAATCACTGTAAGCTCATGCATATTCTCTGATTTTCCAGTTTTGTATTGAAATTCCATACTATTTCTCGCATTTTCCCGGTGCTATTCGATTCCCGACTATTCCTCGTATTTCGCGAATGGGTGACCACTATACTGACGGAAAATTTGAAATTTTTGCTCCACAGTGCTCAAACGGTAGCAAATCGAGTCTTGATTAGTCTTATAAAATTTGAGCTCATTTAGTAAGAAACTGACTTGGCACAAACCAATTGAAGTTTATACGGAAATTACTATGGAAAAACCAGTTTTTTTGTTCATATATATCTAACATTTCACTATATCGCGTTGCTTTGAAAAATGATAGCTATGCTTGTAGGCAGTTTTCTCAGCTTGTTGAAAAAACACTTGGAACAAAAGGTATTAATAATTCAAGCCACTGATGTCTTATGATTAGGCTCAATAAAATGTTCAGTTGGCAACATTAGTGTTTCTGGCGCATAGAATAGAGCACACAAATCATGGTTATCACGTCACACTGCTGAATACAGTGTTCTCCGCAAAACAGCTGCTTGATCGTGCCTATAAATCAGTTAAGTTATAACTTAGAAGTTTGGATGTCCCATAGTAATTTCCGTATAAACTTCAAATGGTTTGTGCCATGTCAGTTTCTTGCTAAACGAGTTCAAATGTTGGGAGGCTAAACAGGACCCGATTTGGAATCGATTGAGCACTGTGGAACGATAATTTGAAATTTTGCATCAGTCTAGCAGTCTAGCAGCCACATATGTATAGGAAGATTTTTATATTTGTTAAGCCGTGTACAATTTTGAAATCTGCATCATAATGGTAATTTTCATGATGACCGCTAGTGTGACAGTTTTTATCCCTAGTTGTCTACTAATTGGCCCCATCTTATACTTCACATTTCATAACCGCAAAAAGTGATTATGTTAAATTAAATACCAATTTTCAGCCCACTATACATACATCTTCGAGCAATCTCAAGCTTGGCACGTTCCGTTCACTCATCCAGCAAAATGGCTTGGCACCTGACAAGTGCACAAGTGCACGTCACGTTACAAAACAAAACCCCTTTCCAAACACCCCAACCGACAGACATTGGTACCGGATTTCCCCACTTTTCCACATAGTGCGACTGCCGTTTCCTGTCACCACAATTCATTCCCATACACACTAATCCAATTCCTATCACGTTAATGATAATCCTTAAATCCTTTATGGCACTTCACAGAGGCTCTTTTCTCGCTTATTTCTCTATTTTCCATTTTCCCACTACCGACCGCTCCGAGGACGAAGTACCATCAGTCGTTCCTGTTACTCACGTTGCAAGCGCTGCATTCCATTTGCCACATTCAGTGCAGCAGCAGTGTCTACTAGGTACACGGGATGCTACTGCTGCTGCTGATGATGCAGGTGTTCAACGCTTTGCTTTTACCGCTTTTCCACTGACTCTTTCCACCCACTCCGGGCTCGGTGAAAACCATCATGTTTGTATAAATGAAAACATTTTTTTTCACCTTCCCACGGTGAATCTTTCCGGAACACTGTTCCACCTCCTTCTCCATCCATCCATCCAGGCATCTACATCTCCTGGGAGTGGATTCCACCGGTGAGTGTTCTCGCTCTCGCCCCCTCCCATTCATGATGACTGGCTCCCAATCCGCTTTGCACCTTTCACTGACCGAATGCAAATAAACTCACGTGAATAATTTAAATTAAAAAAAGAAGGGAAAACGAAACAAGATAAACGAAGGGGAAAAAGACAGTTGGGGGTTGTTTCGGCAATGAGTTCTCCACACCGGAACGTTGGTAGGTAAATAGGTAGGTGTACAAAGCAAAGCGAAAGCTTGTTTGCCTTCATGTTTTAATTTAATTTTAATGACGCTTTTGAATTAAATTTCGGTGCTTTTCACATGTGACAATTACCAACGATGGAAAAGCTGCTCTTCACATAACAGAGAGAGAGAGAGTGGAACGTTGATTTCCTTATTAGCTTTTTTTTATTCCCATCTCTCACCTGATGTTGATGGTTGCTGTATGTTTGACAGTTAGTCAACCAGGTTCGGGTTGAGGGATGTTGTTTTTTTTCCCGTATGGGAGAGGGTGTTTTTTTTTTGGAAATGACGAAAGGACCAACCTGGCTGGCTTTCTGAAGTGACAGTTACAGCTGTGCTGTTGTAACGCTGGAAGTATAATAGGTGAGTAGAAGGACAGCTTTGGAACAAACCTTCTTTTTGTCTTGCTGCTGTTACTTCTCTGTTCAAAATCTCTTCTGTCAGCTCGTAATTTCCCTAGCGTCCAAGTTATGCTTTTATGGGCTGTCCAGATGTTTGTGATCCTCGGAGTAATTTAAGATTTTCTTTAAAGCTTGATTTTTGGCTTCATAATTTAACACAAAGATTATATACCATAAAACGGGGGGCAGTTGATCACTTTTATACCGATAAACTTGAATAATTTTGCAAGTAGATTTTTGGCATCCAAACATATACAGTCAGTTATTGCCGGATTCCTTATTGCCGGTATCCCTTATTGCCGGATTCCTTATTGCCGGGCTATCCGCAAATAAGGATACCCACAGCTTATGGGATTTTCACTAATGGGGGCTGTAGTGGATTATCTCATTTGTTTCAATATATACAGCTATACTGTCTTCGACAAAGTTGTTGTGCTGGGATAGACCAACAAGCCTGTGTCATTGGATTCAGGTTAAATTGGGAACTACGCCGCTAGAGGCGCTTCACTTTTATGTTACTTATGACGGGCGCTATAATATATGGATCATATTTCCAACATAGAATATTCTGTGATCCTGGCCATATAGAAAGTTACTGTCTTGAGCAAAGTTGTTCAGGTGATCAACTCCTTTCGGAT